TAATAATAATAATAATAATAATAATAATAATAATAATAACAACAACAACAATAATAACACAGAAAACAATAGTTTTCGTTTATACGAAAATGATAAAAAATCGTTCGCAGTTAAAGAGAATTTCAAAGTGCTCGCGAACGACAGCAACAACGTTGTCGGTTCGAGGAGCGATAAAAATAATTATTTTGAATCGGGATTGGATGAAAAATCTGGAAATAGAAATTTCTCCAATCCGATAGGTCATAATAGTCAATCCGAAATGGTATCAACGATTACGAACGGAGAGACAATATTGATTTCGGAAAAGAAAATCGAAATAGCTGCGTATTATCATAAAGATCTACCAACGATCGAGACAGAGATAAAAATTCGTACTGAGGAAATTTCTAACGAAGTTCCACCACCTTTACCATTAACAGGTTTAACGATTGAAATTTTATTATTTTGTCAGTAGTTTTTTTTTTCTTTTTTCTTCTTTTTTTTTTTTTCTTTTTTTTTTTTTTGGATCAAATCCTCCTAGATCCTAATTAGATAATAATTAGAAAGCGTTATACGATAACGATAATTATTTCTTTATTTGTTTATTTAATTTTTAATTTTAGGTCCGCCAAAATTGGAACAAACGAGTTCACAGGGTAGAAGCAATAATATCATTGATCATCAACAATCATCGAAAAAGTTTTCATTGAACGTTGATCCATGGAGACAAGATGACAAATCTGAACGATCGGTCAGAGATAAGATCGCAATGTTCTCATCGCAAAGTAGCTTGGACGCACCTTTGTTTCCTAACAATGCGATAAACATATCAAACGTAACCGGTAATGTTAGGAAATTGTCGAAATATAAATCGAGCGAGGACGTATGTAACGATGATAAAACATCGAATCAAAAGGAAAGGATTTCATTCTTTTCTGATAGAACTCAAAGTTCCTTCGATCTTACCGATTCTTCCAAATGTTTTTCCCAAGAAATTGTTACACCATGTAATAAGAGATATCCTGGTAATATCAAAATGACGACGACTACGATGACGGCTGGTGCAGGGATGGGAGTGGCGACTGTATCACCATCATCGTCATCATCATCATCATCGTCATCGTCATCGTCATCGTCATCGTCATCGTCACCACCACCCGTACCACAAAAACCAACGATGACGATGACTAATACAAATGATACAAACAATTATCTTACATCGTTAACAACAAAATCATATTCAACGTCTGGTGCAATCTCATCCTCGCCTGATAATAATATACAATGTACAACGAAATTATATTCATCGTTATTGAACAATCCAATATCCGTTAATCCAATTAAAACAACGTCGACGCCAATTTTAACTCGTGCAACAAGTTTCTCAGGATCAAGTTCATTCGCACAAGAACGTACATCGATTAACAATGCTGATATTATTAATTGTAACAATCAAGTGTCAAGAACGAATTCCTTGGCGTCAAATTTTAGAAGGAACAGCGAAGACATGAGAAGGACCAGTTTGAATCAATTGATCGAACAGAGAAGACGATCTATCTCAAAGTTACGCGGTTTGGTGATTCCTGAGAAGGAAACTGTAACTATCGAACAGCCGATCGTTGATTTGCCAGAGATTAAATCACGTAACTCCATATTACTCAGTCAGGTTGGTCTAAAAAATAAAATACAAAAAAAAAAAAAAAGAAAAAAAAAAGAGAGAGAATAAAGATCATTAATAATATTGATTGATTATTACATTATTTTGATTATTACATTATTGTTATTATATATATATATATATATATATATATATATACATACATAATTTTTGTTTTTTTTTCTTTCTTAATTTTGCAGTTACCTAAAGCAAATATACAGGACAAATGGGGATCACAAAGTTCTATAGCAAGTAATACAAGTTCAGCGAGCGTCCCGTTAAAGGCTACGACATCTTTCAAAATGCCAGCACCTCAGATAAATTCAAAATATTCGCCAGCATTTAAAAGGAAAAGTTTGACGGTATATGGTTCATCCGGTAATACGATTAATTCTTCGGCTTATACGACGAAAAATTCACAAGGAAATAATTCAATTGTAAATGCTGGAGGTAATAATAATATATCGGAACCTCCTAAAAGTTTAGAAAGTATTTGTAGCCCGACGAGAAGCGATTATAGTTTTGAATTTCTATCGGCAAATAATTCGCCAGACGTTTTACGTGGCAGATCGAGAATCAATGGACCGAGAAAAACGCGTAATGATTATGACGATTCTGACAATGATTCGGCAGTTAGTAGCTCACAGAGTAGTATATCACGTGGTTTCAGTCCACCAATGTCACCTGTTCCATCAGAAAGATCTACGGTATCATCTGAAAGATCATACGTTTCAACGGAATTGAATTATCAACGTCGTTCATTCATCATAGATACCTCGAATAAAGCTTACGTTAAGACTGAAAATGAAACGATAAATAATGCGGAACAATATAATGCCAGAGGAAATATTCTCAATAACGAAAGAACATACGTCTCGTCGGAAAGATCATCATCGTCTAGCAGTAGTAGTACCAGTTCTAATCCACGTTCACCTCAGCCAATAGATAATACAGCCAGGAATTCACAAATTCCTCAAAGGCAAACATTGAGAAGATCAAATAGTACAGAAACAAATTGTAGTACCTCGTCGACCTTGACATCGGGTTCACAGGCCAGCGCTGAATCTTTGTCAAGAAGAGTACTCAAGCCGCAAAGCGTTGAAGCGATAAATAGAAAAAATATATTGGCAAGTGCAAGATGTAGAAGTGGTAGAGACTTGAATGGTTCACCATTAATCCAAAGAAAATTTACCGATGAAGAGGAAACAAATCCTGAAAATAGCGGAACCATTAGAAGGAAAAATAATCCTAACAATGGTGTCCAAGTTAAACAGGATATTAAAATAGCTTATATTGAAGTTACCGATTCTTTCTTAGAGGATGATGATCAATTACAGAGAAAAATCGAAGAACCTAAATTACCACCTAAAAGAACCATCATTACACCGGCCGTGAGACCACCAAAATCAGAAATGTTAGAACCTTCTAACGATTTGAAGAAATGGGTTAGAGCAGAGGCCAAAGCTTTGGCTAGATCGGCGGCAGAAGAGAAGTTAGTTAATACGATGGAAAAGGTCAATCCGGTGACCTTGAAAAGTCAAACTGTATCACGTGGTACAACGAACGAATACAATTCCAATGATATAACCTTGAAAAATAGATCTGTTCAAAAGGAAACCGAAGAAATTTCACAAGAAACTATGAAACAAAGGTGTAAAGTTGGTTCACCAATAAAAAAGACGCAGGATGATCAAAATGATCTATTGACTATTCTAACAACTAGAAGTAGATCAAGATCGGCTATACATGTCGATGATGTTAGTTTCGGTAGATCAAAAAGTCAAATGAGCTTAGAGGATATATTAAGCGCAAAAGTAGAAAGTCCATCTCCAAAATTGTTAAGAACGCAAAGTATCGAAGGTAGAACAGAAAATGGAAGTGGTCTGTCGTCGCAAAGACTTTTTTCAGAATCAAGGGACATCAATCGTTTTAACAAAAAGACATCAACGAATTCTAATGATACCTGGCGAGAGGATAAAACGTTCATCTCAAAGATTCCAACGTTAGGTAGATCAAGGATCTTTGATAACAATGACGATACAGAAATAACAGATAAATCAAAGAGCAATACGTCTAAGATACCAACTGCTAGAAATTTGGGTAGACGTAGCGTCAGTGTGACAGACATGAAAAAGGCCTTGGATAAAATTGATGCTACAACAAATGGTCAAAATCAACAACAGGTAACACCAGTTTCGTCTCACAATCGATTTCCAAGTTTGGACAGTAGCATTGATGAGAATGTATCATCGATCGGAACGGAAACGGACAATGAAAGATTTTGTAGCGAACAATTTGGTAGTATAAGCTCATTGGCTAGCAGTACAAGTTTAATTTCACAACAGGAATTAGCTCAGCTCGTAGAAGAAGCTAGCTTAGAGGAAGCTCGTTGTGCTCATGACGTTATAGTAGTCTTATTACATAAAGAAAATCCAACAGGAAGTGTTGGAATAACTTTGGCTGGTGGTGCCGATTGCGAAGTCAAAGAGATCACTGTTCATCGTGTCTTAGCTCATTCTATTGCCGATAAGGATGGTCGTGTTCAAAGAGGAGACAGAATACTTAGTATTAATGGTAGAAGTACACGTGGTCTTACGCATAGGGAGAGCCTAACTGTTTTAAAACAACCTAGATCAGAAGTTGTTTTGGTTGTATCAAGAGCAAGAATCGATGAAGGTTGTAAATTGAGATCAAGGACTGCCAGTGTCGAAACCATTGTTGAAGGTAATAATCATTTAACATTTCATTAGTTTTGAAACATATTGAATATAAATATTAATCCTAGTTTTGCATCTATGTGTTGTTTTCCTTTTTTTTTTTTTTTTTTCTTTTTAGAAACACACCAGATCAATTGAAATAATTTGTGCATTGCACGATTCATGAATTTTTTTTATAATCTAGAAAATTGCTAATGTATTTTTCTAATAATCTACCAATTATTATTTCTAAGATTTTCAAGAATATATTAAATTTCATTCTTATTTATATTTTCAATTTCATTTCATATTATTCATTCTGTATAAATGACAGATATTTAAAGTACTATTCAAAGTGTAATGTAGCACATTCCCAAATGTACAATTAAAGATTATTTTGATATGTGTTCACAACTAGGATTAATATGACAAACAATATATCTATATATATATATATGTTTAACTCTATCTAAACATTGATTTTCTTAGGATTCGAAATAAATGCTGTAGAAGATACTGCTTGGGGTCCACCATCAATGGTCGCAGTTTACAAAGATGGAGCTGGTCTTGGATTCAGTTTAGAAGGAGGACGTGATAGTCCTCTTGGAGACAGACCATTGGTAATAAAGAAAATATTTACTGGTGAGTTTAAAATATCTACAAAATAATAAAAATATCATTTAAATGTTTAATACCAAATAAAATATAATTATAATTAAATTTATATCATTATTTTATTAAATAATTTAGGAGGTGCTGCTGAAAAGACAGGTGCCTTAAAGGCAGGGGACCAATTACTAGAAGTAAACGGTAGTGATGTTACAAGAATGTCAAGGATAGAAGCTTGGTCTCTGATGAAAAAATTACACGACGGTGAAGTGAACCTCCTAGTCAGGCACCCTGCCACCAAGTCCTCGTGAACTGTAGTAAATAATAATTGACTTTCCTTTTCTGTTTTTACATCATGAAATTCAATTTTCAAGAAATTGTCTATCTCTCAGATCAGATTTATATCTCGATTATTGAGACGAAAAAATCTATACACACGAATGAAAAAGAAAAACTATATACATATACATATACATATACATATACATATATATATATATATATGTGTGTGTGTATATATATAACCTATCTTGTTTTTGTTTTTGAGGTTATACCATGTACGAGAAAGTACAATATTTGCTGAAATAATCAAGAAAAGAAAAGAAAAGAAAAGAAATTAGAAAATGCATTTACTTACTTGAATTTTCGATAACATAACCTTAAAAAAATTAGTGCTGACTCAGTGCAATAATACTATCGATCGTTTAAATAGTTCGTATAGTTCAATCCTAAATCCTCGCTAATTAAGTCATATTTACCGTCGTAGTTAAACAATTTAACTGCGTAACGCGTAAATAATACTGAATATTTTTCATAATAGTTTCCCTCGTCCCCCCTGTACCCTCTTTAGAGGCTCTCTTTTTACCAGAATATATTATACAATCTATAAAGAGATTAAACACGGCTTAATAGTTTCTCCAATGAGTATATATATATATCATATTATATATATATATATATATATATATATATATATATATATATACATATATATATATATATATACATATAATGCAGTGCATCACGGATTTGCATAATTATTAATTAATAAAATATATGTTATAAGATCTTGTTAACCTAAAAAAAAAATTATTATTATTAATATTATTATTATTATTATTATTATTATTATTATTATTATTATTATTATTATTATTATTATTATTATTATTATTATTATTACGATTTATCATGTTACGTTGCTTCTTAATACAAAACTTTCTTCGTTTCTTCGTCCAAATGTGTAAAAAAAAATTATTAAAAATTTACTTATATTGATTATGTTATGAAATTTTTATTGTTATGGATTATGCTTATATATATATGTATACATACATATATATATATATAAAAAAAAAAGGAAACAGAAAAAGAAAAAGAGAAAAGAATATAATTTGTACAATTTTCTGGGATCTTTTCTAAATCCACATTGTTAGGCAAAATAAATGAATGAATATTTGTAAATAAAAAAAAAAAAAAAAAAAAAAAATAAAAGAGAAATAATCATGAAGAAAAAAAGAATATATATAAAAAAAAAATGAAGCAATATTTAACAAAGTGACATAGATAATATAAAAATGTTGTGTGTTAATATAAGGAAAAATATATTAATATTGGATTATTATTTAAATTTCAAAAACAGAGTGTTCCGGGGATCTGTGTGCGTTTGTAAAAAATTGTACTGTGATATGTATGCGTGACGTTGTTTAATAAGATAAATTAACAAAAGAAAAGAAAAGAAAAGAAAAGAAAAAAAGAAAGAAAAAAGAAAAAGTAAAATACGAGATAAACTAAAATTATTTTTCTGCTCTAATCGGACATCTAATATAATTATATGGATTTACGATTAAATTCACAAAAAAAAAAGAAAAAAAAAAAAAAAAAAAAAAGAAAAAAGAAAGTTGATATTGTTCAATCCTAAATAACAATTAACGATTAACAAATAATTTCTACATACATATCTAAATACAGGAATTTATAAACAAAAGCCATGTCTCAGTGTATTTTCTAATATAAAAGGAAAAAAGAAAAAAAAAAAAAAAAAAAAAAAGAAAAAGAAAAAGAAAAACAAGAAAAAAATAAAAGAGATGGGTGAAGATCACTCTTCTTTTTTTTTCTTTTCTTTTTTTTTTTTTTTTTTTTTTTTTTTAACATACACTCATATAATCAACATATGATAATAAAATGGGATTTTTGTAATATTTTTCTACAAGCTTTGATCTTGTAAAAATAATATTACATCATGGTGGTAAAAATCAACAGATAACATTTTTCTTAACAAACGGTGTGTCATAAATAAATAAATCAATATATTTTGATAAAAATTATTCCAATTGATATATATATATAGCTTTTGCTTATGTAAGAAATTTATTTATATATATATATATATATATCTATCTACTTACAATATAATCTAATACCAATACGATTTTTTAGATGTACGATCTTCCTTGATACCCATATTATCCATAATATCCATTTCGAAAGTTTTTAAAACCGGCTAAATGTATAGAAAAAGATATTGTAATTAAATTGAATTAAATTATATCATATTATTAAATGTTACAATAACTCTTACTCTTACTTTAAATGTTACTTTTGTTACTTCCTCTTTGGTCGTATCTTTACTTTGTTCTTTATAAAGTTTTGGATGTTTATAATCTATCGTTTCCAATGCAGATTCAGGCATTGGAATTATTCTACCAGTTCTAACAGATACACGTACTTTATTACCCTCATCTGTATATCTCCATTCAATTTGAGTACCATTTCTAATTTCAGAAAATAAATAATATAATAACAATAATAATAATAATAATAATAATAATAATAATAATAATAATAATAATAAAAAGATCAATTAATAAATGATAAATCTTTTAATAGAAATACATACAAGTCATGTGGATCTACTAAAAGAATATCCCTGGTAACTAATAATGGTTGTTCCATTGATATATATATTCCAGGAAATGTTTTAGTTTTTCCAATACATTCCAATTTTGTATTAAGTCCTTCCACAAAAACCCAATTTCTTTCCTGTATTATGTCTCTTACTATACCTTGTTTACCTTTATCTTTTCCTATTAATATTTCAACCTACAATAAATAACAACAATATCTATAAATATATATATATATATTATATATATATTTCATAAATGACAAATAAGGTAACAATAAAGAGATCATATAAATAAAAAAAAAGGGAAGACATAACCTAAGATTATAAAATAGACCAAAAAAAGAAAAAAAATAAGAAATGTTTAATTACCCTGTCGCCACGAAAAAAACTCCAATCTTTTATAGGCTCTATATGTATATAATCGGGTAACAAAGGTTTAATATTTTCTATTTTAAAATTATTCGTCCATGGTTTATAAATGGAAAACCAATAACGTTTACGTTCAAGAGTACGTGGAAGATATTGTGGTTTACCTCGAGGTGTACGCCAATAAACCTATTTTAATTCAAATATAATGATATTAATAAAAATATCCAATAAGATGTCATTATTATATTTATAATAAAAATGACAATTAAATGACATACCTGTCGCATAGTACGATCTATATAGGAATCAGGTAAATTCGAATATTTCTTTGTCCATTCTGCTACTCTTTTAAATAAATAATTGGTTAATCTCATAATTTGTTTTTAATGTTATTAATTCTTGCGTTAAAAATAAAGAAAAGAAATGATAGAGAAAAAATGAGAAAGAGAGAGAGAGAGAGAGAGAGAGAGATAATATATAAATGATAATAAATTTAAGGATTTTAATAAGAGCACGGTAAAACTCACAAGAGTAACTATCTTTACGTAACAGTCTTACCAACGTTATCATTAATAAATGTCTATAACTAATTTTGGACAAATATCTATAATTTAATAATAAAATATATTTTGTTATTTTTGTGAACATGTAAGTTCTCGTGACGACGTCAAATTAGATACATCGAATGAAAGCAACAAAGTAATTGGTAAAGAAAAAAAAAAAAATAAATAAACTAAAATAAAGCGCGAAATTCAAAAACATTGTAAGATTAAATAATAGATATTAATGTTTATATCTATGAATGAACGGATATAAATATCATTTAAATGAATTAATATTCATATACCTTTAATAATTCTATTAAAGATTATTGCAAAATATTGTATTAATTAAAAATATATCTGTATATTTTCCTTGTATCATTAATATATTTAACAAAATGAAAGAATAATTGTTATTACGATATATAGGTAATATTTTATCAGAGAATTAATGATAAAATAATAAAATTTATCGTAAAAATGATTGAAAAAAAAAAAAGTATTGAAAATATTTTCGTATGTATCCATGTTATACGTGTACTATATACTGTTGGCTTACATATAAATAGATGCTAAAGAATAATACACATTTTGTATTAGAAATTAAAAATGTTAGGTGTGGTTATTAAAAGGACTATTACGCGATTAGATTTACGAAACTTGTATGTATCCGTAGCATATAATAATTGTATATTGGGAATGAAAGGATATCAATCTAAAGAATTAATATTGCCATCTATAACCTCCAAAGGAAATATAATATATAGAAATTTTTCACAAAATGAAAAGAATATGAGAAAAATAGTTTTACCACAGCTCATACCTGGTCCGATTTATATCACACAATCTTTTTTTAATTTCATCAAAATACAATGGTATGAAGTATGTATACCATTTATAATAAAGGATTCAGATTTTAAGATTAAGGATATTATGGAGTCTGTTAAAAAAGTAAGTTAAATATTATATCAAAATTTATCAATTATAATTTTCCAATTAAAATTTTTTTCATTAATGTGAATCTTATTAAAGATATAATAATAATAAAATTAATTAATAAAATTACTTTTAGGCTGCATCAATGGTATCCATAGCATTATCAAATAAAGATTATGATTCATTAGAAAATCTTGTAGATGATTATGTATTAGATATCTTAAAATTAAAAGTGAATACATTAACAGAAGAGGAAAGAAAACTTATTGCTATGACAGAAGAAAATATATTATTATGCTTGCCTTATAATATTAAATGCTCAATAGAATCAGAAGGTAATTGAATTGATATAGAAATCAGGATGATTTTATATCTATTAAATAGACATTTTGTTTCATATATATTTTCTTATAGAAAAGAAAACAGTAGAATTGGAATTTATTATACATTACTTACCAGGCATTAATATTAAGGAAGAAATTAAAAGCCAGAGGTTTATTAATTTTATAAAAACTGATCATAAGTGCGTAAGCAATTACACATTTAAACGAGATTATATGCAGGACAGGGATACTTATTGGACGATCAAACATCTTAATCACTCTGAAATGTATGTAGGGAGCTAATTTAATCATCATTTAATAGCTAAAACCATTATAATAAAAAGAAAGAGAAAAAAATAAATCATTAGATTGTAGGGGAAAAAAAGAAGGTTACTTTTTGCAAGATGAAAATATTAAGAAGATTTTTGTAGTTATTTTATGTAATAAATATTCTAATTTACTTTTATTAAGATAACCTATCAAAAAAAAAAAAAATATATATATATATATATATATATATATATATATATATATATATATATTCTCCAGATATAATGATATTTGTTTAAAGAAATATACGAAAGGATAAATCGTATTTTCCGAATAAATACAAAATGCGAGAGATATTAATTAATATCATAAAAATCACTTAATAAAAATCTAATTTTTTAAAAATTAAAAGTATTTTATAACGATACCGCTTACATTTTAAAATCGATATTATAAAGTATCTTTGTGAAAAATCTTGTATATAGAAACGCATATTCCGTATCGTCTATAGGAATTAATGAAATATTTTGACCAATCAGAATCAAGAATTATAATTACAAAATCGTCGTCATTAAAGAATCACATACATACGCACATACACATTATATTAAAATATAAACATCACAATAAAAATTCGTCTGATCTTTCAAATAAATTAAATATTTTCCTGTATTCAAAAAAAAGAGATCTAGTTTACCGATAAATTACGTCTTACTACACGAAGAACATGTAATGTTCTATTGGTCGTGAGACCAATAGAAATGATTCTAAGCATTTCTACCAATCGGAATCGAGTATCGAAAGAGGGGAAATAAAAAGAAGCATCACTATCGAGATATCACAGACAAACGTGTTCCTTCGTGCGTAAAATAAAGGTTATAAATATATAAATAAATTAAAAGAAAAAAAGGAAAAAAAAGAATAGAAAAGGAGAGAAAAAGAAAAAAAGTACCAAAATAAAATTCTCTTCGACTTTTTAAAAATACACAAAAATCGTAAATATATTTTCTCTTATAATTTCAAAAATTTTCTAATTTATTCGGCTAAATTTATATCGAATTAATACGAAGAAGAACGTACACGTTACGTATATACGTACGTAAGTACGTACTCTGATCGTTAATAAACGAACATGAGGGCGCTGTCGATGTCGAAAACGATGTCGACCAATGGGCCCGCGAAAATGGTGTTGCTGCGCGTAACGTGTGGCGCGCAGTGCCGCATAATTTAGGGTATCGTAGTGGATCGTCAGTGCCATCGAGAAGGCAGTCGGTTACGGATTTGAAAAGTGAACGAACGAACGGACGAACGAAAGAAAGAGAGAAAGAGAGAGAGAAAGAAAGAGAGAAAGAAAGAGAGAAAGAAAAAAGAAAGAGAGAAAGAAAGAAAAAAAGAAAGAGAGAGAGAGAAAGAGAATCAAGGCTGAGGTTGATCGAAGCAAAGCAAAGTAAAGCAAAGCAAAGTAAAGCAAAGCTAAGCTAAGCTAAGCTAAGCTAAGCTAAGCTGAGCGGAGCGGAGCGAGCCGTAGCCGAGCCGAGCCGAGTTGAACCGAATTGAGCCGAGCTGAACAAGCAAGCAAGCAAGCGAGCGAGCAAACGAGGGAGCGAGCTAGCTAGCTCAGCTAGTTAGTTTAACAAACGAACGACGTCTACGAGAGAAAAAGAAAGAGAGAAAGAAAACGAGCAAGTAAGCAAGCAAGCAAGCGAGCGAGCAAGCAAACTAACGAACGGAACAAACTCGGTGGTGGTGGTGGTGGTTGGTGGTGGTGGTGTGTTGTTCTTCAGTGGTGGTGTGTTTAATAGTGTGTCTTCGTCGTATCGACTAGTACGTCGCGCGCGTGTGTGTACCGCGTTCGTGAATTCACACGAGTTTTGTTGTGTTACGACGGACGTGCCGTCCGTGCGTATTCTTCTTTCTATTTCTTTTCCGTGAGTGCGTGCGTGCGTACGTACGTGCGTGCGTGCGTGCGTGCGCGCGCGCCTACGTCTGGTGTGTGTGTGTGTGTGTGCGCGCGTGTATCGTGCGTACAGCGTGTATACATATACATATATAAGAAAAAGTTAATATAGTGTTCTCTTCTCTATTCTCCTTCTTAATCGTGTGTCGATGAAAAGGAGGTTCCTTTAAAGTGAGAGAGTGAGTGATCGAGACTGAGAGAGAGAGAGAGAGAGAGTCAGAGTGAAAAAGAGAGAGAGAGAGAGAGAATAAGAGAAAGAGAGTAAGTGAAAGAAAGAAAGAAAGAGAGAGAAAGATAGTGGAGTGAAGTGGAGTTAGAGAAGGGACGGCTGGAAATTGGTGGGGGCGGGGGAAGGGGTAAGGGACAGAAAGGGAAAAAACGCGCAAGGGAAACGCGCACGTCGACTCGTCGTTGCGTTCACACCACCACCGTGGATTGTAAAAGAACGTTCAGCGAGTTTGGTTCTCTCTCTCTCTCTTTTCTCTCTCTCTCTCTCTTTCTCTCTTCCCCACCTCTCTGTCACTCCCTCTCTCTCTATCTTTCTACTCTTTCATTCTCTCTCTCTCTCTCTCTCTCTCTCTCTCTCTCTCTCTCTCTCTCTCTCTCTCTCTCTCTCTCTCTCTCTCTCTCTCCTCGTTTCTGTCTCCTCGTCGTGCTATTAGCAATCTCCTAGTGTGTGTGTGTGTAGTCCGATCTCGGAAAAGTCCAGTGGCGGCCGCTAAGAGAGAGAGAGCCATCATGGCGAATCCACGGAAATTCAGTGAAAAGATTGCCTTGCTCAACCAGAAGGAGGCGCAGGAAACGGCAGCATTTGAAGCGATCATGCGAGAAGTATCGGACGTCACGAGCAGAGTAAGGAAATCACAGTAGGTCCTTATCTTAAGGGACAGTCTCTTTCTCTCTCTCTCTCTCTCTCTCTCTCTTTTTTCTCTCTCTCTCTCTCTTTCTGTCTTTCTTTTTTTTTTCTTTCTTCTTTTTTTTACTTCAATGTTTTCCATATAAGTTATTCTCTTTCTCTTTCTAACGCACACGTTACGTTATGAAAAACGTTGAAAACGTTTTCTGAAAGAGAGAGATATGAAAACGTTTTCTGAAAGAGAGAGATATGAATATATATATATATATAGAGAGAGAGAGAGAGAGTGAGAGAGAGTGAGAGGGAGAGAGAGAGAGAGAAAGAGTGAGAATGAAAAAGAGATAGAGAGGAGTGAGAGAGTGAGAGAGAAGAGAAGCTTCTTGTTTACGTTCTTTCTCTCTCTCTCTCTCTCTCTCTCTCTCTCTCTCTCTCTCTCTCTCTTTCTCCTCTCTCAATCTCTCTCTCTCTCTTTCGCTCGTTCGCTCTCTTTTTTTTTTTCTTTTTTTTCTTTTTCTTTTTCTTTTCTTATACCGAGACTACGTTTATGCGCACAATGTGCAACTTCATTTCACAGTCCGTGTATATATACATATATATATATATATATCCATACACATGTCATACATACATATGTATTAATGTATATATATATATATGTATATATTTAGTTAGATATAACATACTCGTAGGTACTTAATACTTATTCGATTACTACTTATATATATTAGTTTATTGGTTAGAAGAGAATGTTGATGAGAGGGGGAGTAGGAAGAGGAGGTGTATTGATAGAGCAAATAGTAGTAGTAGTAATAGTAATAGTAAATAGTATTATATATTCGTTGAGTGGAGTTTATATGCTCGAGCGCGTAAATGCGCGTTTTCTCTCTCTCTCTCTCTCTCTCTCTCTCTCTCGCGCGCGACAACGAGGAGAGCATGCTTTTTGGCGTGTCCGTAAACGCCGAGTATACGATGCGACGCGACGTAATCCGATTCAATCCGATCCGACGCGATCCGATGCAATGAAAAGCGCGTCGATTTGTTCTCTCTCTCTCTCTCTCTCTTTCTCTCTCTCTCTCTCTCTCTCTTTTTTTCTTTCTTTCTTTCTTTTTTTCTTTCGTTCTCTTTCTCTTTCTTTCTCTGTTTTTGTCTCTGTCTCTCTCTCTCTCTCTCTCTCTGTCTCTGCCTGTCTGTCTTTCTGTCTTTCTTTCTTTCTTTTGACGACAATGAGAGAACGTCGACAACGGGATACGAGACGAGTATAATTTTTTTTTTTTTTTTTTTTTTTTGTTTTTATTTTATTCTTTCCTTTTTATATTTTTCTTTTATTTCGTTTTGCTTCATTCTATTTCATTTCATTTCATTTCATTATAATTTTATTTTATTTCGTTTCCCTTTGGCTTATACCATTTAATTTTTTGTTCTGTTCTGTTTTATTTTATTTTATTTTGTTTCGTTTTGTTTTGTTTTGTTCTGTTTTTTTTTTTTCTTTTTTCCAATTTTATTTTATCTTTTTACACTATAATTTTCCTTCCCTTTCTTTAACTATAATTTTATTTTGTTTTGTATTATTTCATTTCATTTTAATTCACTGTAATTTTGTTTTGTTCTATTTTTGTTTTTTTTATTTTTTTTTTTTTTTATTATTATTATTTTTTTTTTCGATAGGGTTTATGTCTCCTAGATTGCTTTGAACGAAGGGGGAGATACAGAGCAGAGATAGAGAGAGAAAGAGAGAAGGAGAGAGAGCGAGAAGGAGAGAGAGCGAGAAGGAGAGAGAGCGAGAAGGAGAGAAAGAGAGAAGGAGAAAAGGAGAGAGAGAGAGAGAGAGAGAGAGAGAGAGAGAGAGAGAGAGAGAGAGAGAGAGAGAGAAATGGCGATAACGTCGCGTGGAGAATTGTTGGTTTCGTCGCGTAGTATAATATTTTCCTATGTTGTTGTTTTTTGTTGTCGTCGTCGTCGTGGCCGTGTCGTCGTCGACTAGGTCGTTTTCATCGCTGTTTTTGTTATTATTGACGATTATGTTATTACGTCATTTGATCGAGAACAACCGTCCGTTTCATTACTTTAAACGTATTTCCTTCGTTTTTTTAATGTTTCACGAAAGTTCGGCTTCTTTTTTTTAGATCTTTTTTTTTCTTTTTTATTTTTTTTCTTTTTTTTTTTTCCGGCGGTAAATAGTTTTATCACGATAAATAGCATCGATAGTTAATTATTAATTATTATTGTTAATTATTATTTTGTTATCTATTCTTTCTTATCTATTCATTATTTTTTTATTTATCCTTTCTCTCTCTCTCTCTCTCTTCCTATTCTTTTCTTTTCTTTTCTTTTCTTTTCTTTTCTTTTCTTTTCTTTTCTTTTCTTTTCTTTTTCGACAGTTTAATCTCGAATGTTCGAAAATCTTTCGTTCAATTTACGTACGCTTTTTATTTTCATTATTTGCGATATTTAATTTGATCGAACAGATCGATTTTATATCGATTGCGACATATTTATCGAAAATCGAAAGTAGTCTTGAATATTCAAAAATCTTGTTTTCGATGTATATGTATAGATTTTTTTTTTTACGTTTTTTTATTTCCTCTCTCTCTCTCTCTCTCTCTCCCCCCCCTCCTCCTGTTTCTCTCTCTCTCTCTCTCTGTCTCTTTTCATTTATCGTTCGATCAATCGAAAGTTTCGATATACGTCTCGAATCTTCGAACAATTATCTGTTCGATGTATTTATTTCTTTCGGCATTTTTTTCTTTTTCTATTTTTTTTTTCTTTTTTTTTTTTTATGGAATTAATTACAAATATCGAATTTTGTTTATTTTATATATATATATATATGTATATTAATTATTAAATAAATAAATAAACAAATATTTGTTTCTTATTTATACTTGTGGGATTTTTTTTTTTTGATCATTCGATTAATCGAAGATATCGAGATTGTTTCGAATTTTACGAAACAAAGATGTGTGTGTGTGTGTGTGTGTGTGTGTGTAGATATATAGATAGATAATTAGCTATTTTTAAGAATCGTTTTATCTTTTGCAAACACATTTTCTCCAATGAAAGATAAATGATTAGAAATTCTAATTTAAAATGTTCCTACGAAAGTGTGAAGTCGAAGACATATGCTAAACAAACGATTTTTAATAATTAGGTTCGTTTCTATTTGACGTTTCTATCATTAAGATATATTGTCTTCGTCATTTTATTTCTTAATTCTAATGCTTCTAATTCTCTATTTCTAATTATCTTTCTTTTATCAATAACAATGTGAATACGAAATATATTATAATAGCATCGAAATATAGTCAGATGAATAAGGCCAATTTAGGGATTTTAGATTTGTATTAATCAGTAATCTATAAATTTTAAAAGGAGGAAAAGATAGAAAAGATACAGAAAAGAAAACGTGGTAACGAAAATGATAAAAAGGAAAAAACAAAAACAAAAAAAAAATCAAAGAAACAAAAGAAAAAGAAAAAATTAAAAGAATGTACGAAAGAAATATGAAAAATTGAATATAAAAAGAAAACCATCGAAAGAAGTGAAAAGTGAAGAAAAAATAACAATAATACTAATAATAACAATAATATTAATAATAATAATAGTAATAATAATAATAATAATAATAATAATAATAATAATAATAATAATAATAATAATAATAATAATAATAATAGAGGAACAGAAAATGACAAATGAAAGTCCAACGAAAAAAGTAAAAAATGAAAGAATTTATGAGTGCAACGGAAATGAATGAAATGAAAAATATGTTGAAAAAATTTCTAATAATAATAATAATAATTGAAAAATATATTATAGTTAATTAAATATTACACACATATATATATATATATATATAGTAAAAGAAAAAGAAATGGAAAATAATGCTTTTATTTTTAATGAATTTAATGTAATAAATATAATTTTAACAGTGAGAGAGAGAAAGTGAGATAGAGATAAAGAGTGAGAGAGAGAGAAAGAGAGAGAGACTAAATTATCGACGATTACTATAATTTAAAGGGTCTTGCTATTTAGAAAGTTAATCCTGTCTTATATATGTGTCTCTTTTAGAGGCGAATTTTGTAATAGAGTTCGATTATGGTTGACTAACTTATTCTCTCTTTGATTCGTTCGTTCGGATAGGCAAATTAATTTTCTGGAAAATTGATTAATATACCGTGTGTTCATCTATATATATATATATATAATATATATACATAAATGTTAAATGTATATAAGTCCGATAATTATTTAGCAGAGAGTTAAAATGAGAGAAAGAACTTTTTTTTTTAAATTATATATATATATATATATATATATATATATTGTATTGTAATATTATTACAAGTTATGGTAGAGTTTGTTTATTAATTAATTTATTTTTGTTTACTAATTATTGGT